CATCTAAATATTTGTAGAGTAATTATATATAATATTGTATGCTAATTGCTGATAAAATGCAAATTTTACCGAAATACCACAGTTATTAAAATTTTCAATTTAGCAATAAACGATTTAGCAATAATTTCACATTATCTTTAGATAGTTTACTTATTCAAAAAAAAAAACAGAACTTTTAATAACTTATTTGTTAAAGAAACATGTATTTTGATAATATTTTTTTTAATGGATATACTTCATATAATACATATACTTCGTATAAGGCTAATATGCATATTGATGAATAATGCTAAAAATCTTCAATTTAGATGAAGGAATAAGAAAAGTAGCTCAAACATGCACCTTCTTTTTTTTAAAAAAAAAATAACGATAGTAAAACTTCTAACAAAAAAATTAAATTAAATTTATCAGCAGCTGTTTTATTCCAGGGAATGTAGGTTTATAAATTATATCTCATAAAAATACCTGCAAAATGATATCCTGTCTATACTTTAATTTTTAAGTGGTAAAAAAAAAAGGAATGTTTTTAAGTGGAATGGTTTTTAAAATAAATGCAACGTAAGATAAATTTACCTTTGTAGTCTCAAATTTATCCTTGTCAGTTAAAGTCCGATATTCTGGATGCTTAGGTATCTGCTCCACAAACAATCTTTGTGTTAAAATAAATATATTTTATTAAAATATAAATATAGACATAGTTTTTATATTTTATAGACAAATAAAATGAAAAATGAATAGGCTATTCAAACATAAAAGACAATAAAAATTCATGAAAAATGTATTCATGAAAATTAATGAATAGCGAAACTGGTTGTCATCATTAAATTACAAAAGTCTTATATAAAAAAGTAGGTTTTAAAAAGTTTTTCTTCTTTTATTACCTGGAAAGTTACAATGAAAGTCAAACAATATTCTTCACTGAACTAAGTCACAAAATGCTACAAAATGATACTAATCACACACATGAAATTCTCCTGATGCATTCAAGTGCTTGTCTTTAAAGTACTGAAAAGCCCTCTTGTTTCTTAATTGTTTCACATTTTTTTTTATTTGCAAATAAGATGATAAGGGGCAATAACAAAAGATTAAATTTGAATCTCTGGATATATATGTGTGTGTGAGTATATATATACAGTGAAACCTCCAGTTATGGACACTCCTGCAAAACAGACGCCTCTCAATACAGACATATTTGTAATTGCCCGGGAATCTTCTATTAATAAACCATTATGTACATTCTCCGCAAAGCGGACACTCACATATCCGTATGTGGACAGTCATTTTGGCCTTGAAACGTTATTTTCTATCTCTTCAAACCAGACACTACATTTTCTAAATCAGAAAAAAACAAACTATTTCTGCTTTAAATTGCAAGGGAAAAAATGCGACTTTTCATTATTTTTAAAGCATGTAAAGTTTTTGCCTTATCCATAACTAAAAGTATTGTTAAGCTATTTCACTACTAAACAATCAATCTTTCTCCTCTGTCACCTTGCCTTATCCTTGTAAAGAAAGGAGAGAAAATGATACTGCTTTCCTGAAATTATTCAGACAGCGGCATCTTTCGATCTTTTCATCTGGACCACATAGATTATAAGACCCCTCAAGTTGAAATGACATCTGAAATGCTCTCAATGCTTCTTCCCCATAGAAAATTTCTTTAATTTTTCTTATCAATTTGAAGACTGTATTTAACACAGCAGGGATAAAAGAGAACAAAAGTGTTCATATAAATGAAACATTTATTCAGACACTTGATAGCTGATAAATTGTGAATAATTAACTCCATAGGTCCTCGTGACTTACAGGTATGCATTGCTTTTTTATTCTTTGAATCCTGGGAGGTTTACTTTCAAGAAGGTATTAACCACATTCCCGATCAAATGATAGGTAGGTGTAAGGGAATGTGAACCTAATAATTAAAACCAACTAAAAACTGAAAGCAACTACTCGGTATCATATGTCTAACTTAAGTATCTATGCTAGTAAAAAAATTATATTTATTTATCTGTTGCTACAACTAAAATTATGTATTTATATCAAACTTTTTTAAATATTTTTTACTTTCTTAAAGTTTAAATAAATATCCTTGTAGATAGTTATTGTGGATTATTTATTTCTACATCTTTGAAAATATTCTAAAAACAATTTATGTTGTTGCGTTAAACTTCGTTATTAGGGTACTCTTCCCGTAAACGGACAACTCTCATAAACGGACAATTTTTTCGGTCCCAAGAATGGTCACTTAACGGAGGTTTTACTGCATATATATATATATATATATATCATAATAAATAAAAACAGAAAAACACGAAGAAAATTAAGAAAAACAATAAGTTTATATATATCTAATCAATAAAAAAGATTTTACGGGAGTGGGGAAAATCAATAAACCAGGAAGACAATAATGATAATGGGCAATAACAAAAGATTATAATCTCCTACATCAAAAAAGTTGGGGAAAATTATCACTAAAAACTTAGTCCCTCTAAAATATTTCACAAAACAAAGACTTTAAAGTTTCTTTTGTTTAAATTTGCATTAAAATGCAATTCCAAAAAAAGCATAGCTGCTTTAAAAAGTAAAAGATTTTACAATGACTCAATGTAAAAGATTTTACAGGGGAGGGGGAAATAGATAAACCGGGAAGACTTTTGGCAACCATAAAAAAGCATAAATTCTTAAATACATATGTTTGAATAATTGATAAGTTATGGCAGGTATTTTGAAAACTAAATATAATGCACTGAAACGTAACTGTTGCTGTCACTAAGAAAAAATTTTCCTTGTTGACTGTGCAGGATATTACAATATATAGAAATATATTTAGTACCACCTTTTGTACAATTTTTTTTTTTTGGGCGGGGGCCACAGTATTCAAACTTGTCTAGAAAATAAAAAGTTCAACCACAAAATAACTGAAGTGTTATTTTCTTCAATGTGAATAAAAAACAATAAAAAGAACCTCTATTTTTACAAATTGAGCTATGCATATATACAAATATTAAATAAAATTTGCCAACAACAAAAATATCAGGAATGAGGCAATTTGCTGATTGAATCAAAATTCTTGTGAAACAAGATTGGGCAAAAAATATCAAAAATAAATATTAAAGAGTATTAAAAAATCTCTTCCCTTTATTTTTCATTTATATTAAAGAGAGAAAAAAACATGTGAGTTATTTTGTGATTAAATTTCGTGCCTCTACTAGGTAATTGTTGAATGTATAACACACGTGACACAAAATATATTATTACTAGCATTTATTAAACTCAGAAAAATTTCAACTTTTTGACAACTTTAGTGCCTTTAAATGAGAATCTTGTTGATAGAATTATTTCGTCCTGTTACTCTCGGTTTATGCAAACATTTGGTCGGAACATATCTTTGGTGAGTAAACATATCGATAATAGACACAAAGTAAAAAATCTCTTAGATGGTTTGAATACTAGAAATACCTTCTCTAAATACTGAAATTACCATTCGTAATGCCTTACCAAACAAAATAGCACTGTGATTTCAAGTGATTGTGTGATTTATGAGAGGATATATGAAGAATCTCATATTCTTATACACATAGATTTTTTGAATAAATTGAGCAAAAGGGATATTTTATAACAGGGTGGTAGCCATATTTTTCAACAAAAAGTTAGCACCTTTTAAGTACTTTTTAAGCACTCAAAAAATATTTTGAATCACTTTCCAAAAAAAAATCATAATTAGGATCGGTGCAGTAAAAAAAATTACTTTTTTCTCTCGTTTAAAGTTCTTAATTTGTAAACATGAAATCAATAAAATTCAAAAACTTTTAAAAATCATGACAAAATAACTAGTTTCTGATAAATATTGCACAGAAAATCGTGATAAATCATGCATTTTTTGTAATTTAGAACAGCAATCGATACGGGAAAGAGAAACCTCTTTTTAAAAGATAGAAAATTAAGCACTTTTCACAAACCCCGAATAAAAAAAATCACCTTTTGTAGCTTTTAAATAATGTAAATCAAAAATAAGCACTTTTAAAAAACCCTATGCACCCTGCATAATTTTAAATGAATGAAATTCCCACAGTTAGATGTCTACCTTTCTTCAAACAGCTTTAAATAAATAATTATCAAGAAATTTGTTGAAAATTTGTAAATTCAAGTTAGCGATGAAAAACCTAAAAGTTAAAGGTTTTTTAAACATTAAACTTACAATTTATTAAAAATATTCCACATTAAACATAGGATTTACATACAATAAATAAGTTTAACTATAAATATGCATATATAATTCCAAGAATCTACAGTCAAAGGAAATAAAGTTTTGAACTTTTAATAATAAAGAAATGTAACGAATAGTTATACTTACGTTGTATATTTAGTATAGAGAATAAAAGCATTTTCTAGTTCTCCTTCATCGTGATACATCTTTGCCATTTTCAGCATTTCAGAACCAGATCTAAAATAACGACCAATTGGAATATGAGAATTAACGGTAACACTGCTGGCAACCATGGCCAAAGCTTGAATATGGCTCTTTGGATCCTTCATGTTTTTTGTTTCAAAGGTTTATTAAATGCTGAAAGAAAATGAAATAAATATGTGACATAATGACAATTTTTTAAGAAAGATTCTATTTTTTACACAAAGAAAGCCCCTAAAAAAATTTCTTCAAGAGTTGTTTGTGATTTAATAAGGCCAAGAAGGTTACAATTTACCAATTTTGTAGCCAACAACATAATAGTTGCAATATGGTCAGTAATACCGACAAGCTGCCTTTACTTTTGCTGCTAGAGATTGAACCTCAGTTTTTTCACAATGGTAGCTGAGTGCTTTAACCACTGAGCCATACCAACTTATAATTATAGAAAAGCTATCCATACTTTTCTCCAAAGATATAGTTATCTTTGAAGCAAATGTGATTTCTTAAAAATTTTATATTTGAAATTAGATATACTATAAAGGTTTTTCATTGTTGACTCATTGTTGGTTTTGCAAATGGGCAAAACTGAGAAAATGTTTCCCTATCTAATAACATAAAGAAAACAATTTTATTATGCAAAGAAGACTGCAGAATAAAATATAACATTTTAAAAGCGGAGCTGTCAGTCGTTCAAAATAAATAAATTATTAGAAAATAGTGAAATATTAATTACTTATTTATTATTATAAAAATACAGATGTTTAATAAAAAGAAGTATACGTCAAGTATACAATCTATTGTAACTTTGCTCTACTATTCTCTTTATTTGCTCTTCTTGAAGAAGCAGAAACCCCATCAGTTTCCTCTTGGCTGGATTTCTTATTATATAATTCAATGAAAATAATAAAAGTCAATGGTAGCCTATAGCAATACATTCATTTTACAAAAGGCCCAATTTAATATATATCTGTGTGCGTGTGTGCTAGTAATTAATAGATTAATAGTTTAAGCTGGTTAAAATGAGTTAAATCCAAAGGCAAATTTAATATGAGTAAAAAACATCTTAAATTATATTAATTTTTTTTTAAAAAAAACTAAATTATTTCTAACAATATTTGAAAAATAGCATTTCCAAATATATAAAAGTATTTCCAAAATAGCATTTCCGAAAATGGCATTAATATTTTTTGGAAAAATAACAAAAGTTAAGAAAATTTTTTTAACATAACATAGTTTGCATTTACTTATATATAAACGATGAGGAGGAGATCCATCTTTCATCCCCTCCGCTGCTCCACTGCCGCCATGATTTCAGCGTCACAACTTCCCAGCACCACCGCCTCTCCTTTTTTTTTTACCCAGAGACTCACTCTTCGTTTTGTTGCTGAACAATCAACTGCGTAGCCCTGACGGGGCTTATGTGTTCATAACCGGGGCTGACGGCCCAATTTCTTGTTAAAATCATCGGGGCAGAAGGCCCATATTTTTCAACTTAATGTTCTCTAAAAACATTTCATATTTCATCAAACATGTAAAAATCATTTTGTCATTAAATACTCCCATCATTGAAAAACTGTCATTCCTCTCCAAAACACCACAAAATTATGGGGGACTCTAACCGGGATATAGACGAATCTAACCGGAATTTTGCCGAATAAGACGAACTAATTTCTGAACTGTTGAATTGTGTGAAAGAAAAAGAAATTACATTTACGGTTAGAGTAAAAAAAAAAGGATGAAAGGATTAAGAATAAGAGGTTTATAATAGTTGTGATAGATGGCAGCACTATTATCTGTCACATTATTTATTTAGTGTAATTCTTTTACTTAATTTAAATTTTTTCTCACTCGGATATATAATCGATCTTATAAATATATATATATACTTTTTATAATGATTTTGGTTATATATTAAAAAGAATACACTTGGGTAGATTTAGTATTATTTTTTTCAATTCGGATTTCTCTTTTCCTATCACTAAACAATTATTTGGTTTAGGTAGCGCAGTGCAGAAAAAAAAAATAATAATTCTTAACTTCCAAATTACAAATTATGAGAAAATAATAATTAATGATAAATGAATAAATAAGTAAATAAAGGAAAATCTATACGCAAGAAAATATCTTGAGAAGAAAGAACTTCTCGGAACGTAAAATAACGGCTTCTAAAGTTTAATTAGAAAAGCATTTTTGAATCCTAAAAATTTCTAGAAATTTATACTTTTTCAAAAAAAAAAAAAAAACTTTAGAATTCTAAAATTTGGTGCAAATAAACCAATCAATCAAAAGCTTATTGCACGAAAATTTTGTTTTTTAGACATTTTAAAATATGTATTATTATTATTATTTATTTTGTATTATTTATTTTGTATGGTTGCATATCAATGAAAGGTAAATAATACATTTATATTTAATTTGATTCGTTTTTAATCATTTAAAAAATTGAGCCTGCAGATTTTCTTTATTTACTTTGTTTTAATATAAAATTAATATTACAATGATTTATTTCCGTAAGTACAATAAATAATCGAAATATGTTCCAATTGCATTATCTTTTATAAAATTAATTACATTATTTTGACATAAGTTATTTTAATTATTTTCTTTGAGTTTAGTTATTTTCAATGAAATTAATATAAATTAAATAACAACTGAATATAAAATAGAAAAATAAGAATCCTCATCACTATTTTATTGAATTAAAAAATATATAAATCGACTAATGGTTTATTGTCCTTAATTTATCTTATATTTCTGTTCAATAATCTTACTCAAGTAATTATTATAACTAAGTTGACTTTATTTATCGCTTAGAAGTATGAAATATTCTTAAATTGTATAGGATAAATTTTTCATTTTACGTGGCTTTTCTAATAAAGCAAAACTGTTGCAATTTTTAAGACATGGGAAGAAAACGGTTTATGTCCATGAAAGATGATTCTGAGAAAAATTGGAATTAAAGGTAAGAGATTGTTAAGAAGATAAAATACGGCTGAAATCGTTAAAATAAAAATATACATGAATACCACAAGCCTTGGCGAACAAAGAACAAGGGGAGCGCTCAAATGATCAGAAAGTCGGGTCCACAATCGTGGTTGCCGGGAGAAAAGTGTTGCACCAAGCAGACTCCTCAATTCTGCTTTTAACATGTAAAGTCTATGGCGGGCTTGTCATGCTTTGAATCGATTATTCTTGTTCAAGAATCGGAGTGATCAATTAAAA